TTTGGAAATAATTAAATAAAAAAATATATTTTTTACATTTTGTACAAAAACCTTAAAATAAATTAATGAATCTTATTATAAAACCAGAATTTTAATATTTCCATTATTTCGTGAGATAACGCAATGGGTAAATCCTCGGGGGACACCCTGTATTTAGGTATACATATATTATGTGCAGATAGGGAGTGACAACTATACGAAATAGCCGCGGTTTGGTTAGGGTATTAGAGTGGCCGAAAACGAGGGTCGGGCGTTAAACATAGTGACCTAGCTGATACACGAAATAATGCGGTGGGGTGGATTCGTTTGTGACGAGGACGAGACAGGGTCAGATCCTGCAGTGGACGGTCCGATCAATTAAAAAGCTCTTATGTACACGTCGGATACTCTGGTCGCGCGGAAAGGCTGACGAGGCGGAGGTCTGGAGTTTATTAGTATAATACCGTCCAGCACCACCACGTGCTGTACTATATCCACATAATATAATATGCGTTTAATATATATATACATACCGCGAGGTTTTCACCCCTCTATACGGTACGACCCCGCCTGTTAGCTATAATACTCACCCAAAGTTCTCGTGACAATCCGCTGCCGCCGCCACCGCCACCGCCATGCGCCTTCACTGCACCAGGTCTGCAGGACGATATTGTCATCCCACGCGTGAGTTTCACGTAAACCTACACTACGTTTGCGTAGGTACCTTTATATATATATATATATACGTATAATCATCAGTCGTATATATTTAAGGATGGTTTTGTTATACAGCGACAGATTGAACACCATCCTGCTCCTTCCTCCTCCACTCGCTTCGCCTGTAGTCCCTGCAGTCGCAGCCCGAACGGACGTCCGGTCGTAAATATATATATATATATATATATAATATGTATGTATATAGCTTGTTGGCTCTTGTCGAGTACGCCACACTCCGCAGGCTATAGGACAAGTGACCAGAATCGTCCGGACCCAACGAACTGTTGGCCCTATACAGCTGTATATAATAATAATAATAATAATATATATTACACACCTAATACGTGTTCATATATATATGTATATATATATATAAATTTATATAAATACTTTTCTGGACATCGTCGATTTACACTATCACACGCGTACGACTAGAATAATTGAAAATTAAATCCTAGAAAAACGCTATTTTCACTCCAGCTAATATACAATAATACGTACCTATATAATATGGACGACCTGTGAAATGCATTATCGAACGGATCATCGATGGCTGCAGCCGTCGTCGCTCACAAATAATTTATTAACTTTGGATMAAAAAAAAAAAAAAAAATATTGAACTTTGAACTCCGACGGTCGTCTCATGTCATCACTAAACTGCAGTGATGTAGACTTGCTGTCGTCGTTCGCTGCAGGGTCTATAACTACGCAGTGGTCGGTATTTAAATCCCACTTTCAGATTTGTTCTGCAGTGCGCTGCAGTAAATCATTAAAAGTTTTTTCATTTTCTAATACTTATCAGTCGAATATTTCCTGTTATTAACACCACCGTGGAATGCACGATTATACACCTATATAATATGATGGTTGTTGCAGGTGTTAAATATTTATTTCAAAGTATGAGTAACTTTTTTCACACACACACGCGCGCGCATTATGTTAAAATTGAACTGTATATATCGTTCATTTTGCCTTCACCTGTCCCTCGTATCATGTAATATTATTATGTATTATTATTTCATATCGCTTGAAACTTACCGTCGTCGTCATATACATTCAACTAACGTTATGGTTGGTTCAAAGTATATAATTTTTCCATCATAAGTATAGTTCACGTTATAATTTAATTACAGCGGATAACGATACGACAGGGCGGCACATAGATAGAACCAGTGTCTATATTATGTAACTTTTGTTACTTCATAAAATTACAATATTAATAACAACTATATTCAAAGCAATAAAACATCCTAACATTAAAAGCCAATTTTAATCCGTGTTGAAGTTTACGTCTAGATACAGTTCGGGGAAATAATAATAATACTAATAATAATTCAAATTTTAAATTACAAGAATATAATCTAATTTTTTTTTTTATAGTACGAATAAATATGCTATTATGATTGTAGAATTTTAATACCAACTATATGTATATGAATCATAGATATAATCAAATAACTTCATCAATTTAGTTAATTTTACTGTATAGTTTTATGACAAAAAAAAAAGTAATAAACTAATAATGTATATTATATAGCATGATATTGTTCGTGACAAAAATATATATGGCTGCAGGAATGAAACAAAAATATTTTCTTCTTAATCGAATAAATGGAATTTAATTTACAATTATTATCTAACATCCAGTTTATGATTATTAAAAATAAAATTTGTTTTTTTGCGATTAATAGTTTCAATCTTTCAAACTATTAAAGTTGAGTGATATACCTAAATTATTTTTAGCAGTTTTAACTTTTGTGTCGTACCTAAGTAAATCATAATATAGGTACCCAAGTATTCCAAGTGTCGAAATATTTAAAATTTGTTTGGATTAAAGTGCATATATCACGATGAAGTAAGTAAATGTAACCTTTTTATAGTAGATTAAAACTTCCAAGATTATTAGCTTCAACACTCGTGGTATAATTAGTTTGGTATGATTATAGGTGTAGGTGCCAATATCATTAATTCATTGAATATTTAAAATAAATGAAGCAGATATTATGTATAAAACATAAATTAAAACGATAAATTGGCGTACCTACCTAATGATTATATTAACATTTCCATATGATTAATAAATGAATAAATAAATTATAAAAAAAGATATATCGTACAATTTTCTCACTGTTTTGTCGGAACGTTTTTTATCAAATAATATGTAATTTTTATCTTTTTACTTATCTAATTATTAGTTTATATTTACAAATAACTCAATTTTATTTTTCAATAAAATTACGGAAAAGTGAATTCCACAACCACAACTCTACAACCACGTATTTTATCTAATGTGCATATTATGCTATTAATGGTATTATATATAATAATATTGTGAGTTATTAGAAATTATTGGTATGTAATATGTATATTTTTATTATAATCGTAGTTTGTAATTGATGATCGTTAAAACTTTAAACTAAATGTGAACTGAACATTTTCTATTATTTCATGCAGAAATCCTATGAAAACTTTAGAACATTTTTAGATTTTTTGGTATGATTTGAGTTTTGAGTATAATTTACAGAATTATAAAACTTGTGAATTCAACTAGATTTGGTTCACAGAGTTTTCCAACTATCATAAAATSACATAAATTATATTTAATTCTTTGTTTGTAAAAAACTTTTAAAGTTTACAGTATTATAAATGACACACAAAATTGACTTCAAATAATGTTATAGTTTTATATCTTTTGAATAATATACTTTAATACTATATTCTTTACTATTTTTCATTTTTTATGATAATAACAAATTTGTTTGTTCGTGTTGCGTCGTAGCGAGAATTCGAAGTTAACGTGGTATCTGTTATGTTGTATGTCGACCAATAAAAATAAATTCCTAGGTGATTTATTTGGACTTAATTTTGTTTCATTATAATATAAATTAATTATAAGAGCTTAGAGCACAAATCAATTAGTTCAGATTTTTTTTTTGGTGTAATAAAAAATTATGACCTATTATAGTATTTTCATTATTTGTTTAAGCTATGGGCTATAAATATGTAGAAATTCTTTCTTTATGTCAAACATATTTATTTATTTTGTTATATTATTTAACTGTTGTAAATTATTAACTGTCGAAATTAAAATCTGCAGAAATTTAGAAAATCGCACAGTAGTTTTTAGCTGGTTAAAATATTTGTACGGATAAAACATACTAAATAGACACGTAGTATCTTGATACTTAATACTCTATAGACTATAATGATCACGAAAATGTCATAATTAATACTTACCTTATTTATAACATATACACAGTCATATAACCGTTGTACCATATATACCATAGTGTTTTTATAAATATTATAGCTTTCGAAAATGTGATTAGTGAACTGATTAAAATATTAGTTTTTAATCATATCATATCATTGAATACTATTGTACCAGTTGCCTGTTACTATTACTATAGTCGTGCTCTAATATTATTCAAAACTCATGATGATTGTCTAAGACGCGTAAATCGCTAAAATTAAGAATTTTTATACATTACGAATAAAACTGTAATTAACAACTAATATCTTGAAATCATCTTTATTCCCTTTAACGTCATAATATTATTTTTCTACATGCACGATGTACTTAACTGCCGAGTACGACCAAACCGTAAATGCTACATTTTATATTTTATTGAATCATAGTAATATATTATTAATAATTTAACATGTAAAAACGAACGTTTGTTTGTTTGTTTGCTTGTTTGTCCAATTGTCCTCTATGTACTCAAAACTACTGGACCGTTTTGCATAAAATGATATCAATAGATTTTTGAGATTCGAGAAGGATATAATATGTAACTTGGTTTTTCAATCCATATACATTGGCCGATATAAGTTTTATCACACAGTCAAACATAGGTACATTTTGTTTCGGCTCGTGAAAATCAGATATTTTTTTCTTTATCTAGTTAAGTTGTTATCATTGCAAGTCAGGTACAGATTATATCACTATTATTATTAGAAAAAAATATAATATACAAACATTTTATCAAATATAATTTAAAAAATAAAATAAACGTACTTATGAACACAATATAATAACAATGATTTTTTTTAATGATTTGCTTTTTTAATTCTTAAACGAATTATTGGAGTTAAGTCGGATCTTAAACAGTTCGTTGAATATGCCTCCAGTAGTTTGTGTTTACTTACGAAATTTGTCCATATAATTTTATCAATAAATGGAATACCATAAAATAAATCATTTTGATATTGTTTGCATTATGTAACAAATTTCAATTGAAACTACAAAATGCGAAAAACGATAGAAAGATCGATTAATTTGAACACGGGCAAAGTCGGGTACCTAATATTACTGTTATAACTACAGTGTATAGTATGTATATTATATTGAAATAGTTGTTTGGTTTTTAAATTTTTCGAGATCCAAAAATTAAAAAAAAAAACCCTTGTTTTCAGACTCGTGATGTCTGTGGTCGTAGTGATATGCGTAATACTACTTTTAGTGACAAAAATCGACTGTAGAACGAAAACTTCGACGCCCTCGATACACAGCAGCCGCGTGGTATCAACCGCAAAAGTTTTGACCAGTTCGTGCGCCGTAATCGAAGAAGGTGTTCCTGTGTGCCAAGATCCGGAAGAGGATAACAAGTATGCAACGCTTAAAGTTTACAGTTTAAATCGTATTACCTATATATTATGACGTATAGTCATGACTCACGATTATTATTGTTCGTCAATTACGTCAAAGAGCCACAGACGTAGAAGACGCAGAACTATCGAGACTAAACTCATCGAGACATAGTCCACATCATTCGATCAGCGACGTATTTGACTTAGTTGTATGGAGTGAGGCTAAAATTATTATACACAAGCTTAAGTTCTACCTTATTAATTTTACCATGAACTGTTTTTATTTTTGTGTCTGATGACACTTTTCTAGCAGAAATAATGATAAATATTCAATTTCAAAGAGACTTCCGGTAGGTAGCATATAGTATAGTTAATCTTGCTTGTAATTTTCCCATATTAAAACCAATAATAGTTCAAGCGATCACCCTCATCGCCCTCCCCTCGGGGACGCGCCTGCGTTCGATATAGGTAGGTACTATTTGCACAATAAATCATAATAATAAAATATATAGTGTGTGCCTAATAGTACAATATAATATATGTGTAATAATTATTGATATGTGTACTATGACATAATAATATATTGTTCGCACTGCAATAATATCATCCTAGACTTATATTATATACCTACGGCCACCAGAGAAGAGTATATAGGTACACCTATATCGTTGCACTGTGCCAAATGTCAATATTGTTAATGTTACGTATATTATATAATTTATAGTTATTTAATATACATAATATTATGATTTATGATACATACTCTGATCTACTGCAACCTATACATAATATGATGTCTATTTGATGCACTTATATATTAGTATGATACATTGATACTCGGTGTCTACACATTATATTATTATTATTATATATTTTGATGTGAAAACTTTCAAGTTTGAGTAAACTAACATCGTTCGACTTTTACGAACGAGATAAAAATTGTATTAAGAAAACACACATACGTGTCAAGGTAACCGGGAGCCGGGAGGAATAACTTTTAGTTATATATATATATATTATGCTTCAAACTTTTTTTAAATAGGACATATAATGTAATAACCAAAAAACTTTTTTTTTAAAACGATTCAAGTACATAAAAGAAAAAATGTACCTCTATCAAACGTTTGTTTGTTAAGACGATCCCTGAGTATATATAGTCGATACCGGTAGAGACCAATTTCCTAAAAATTTCGAAATCTTGATGATCTTAACAAAATAACAACTATAATATATAGGTACTAGAAATAGGTATTAAAACACGATTCCGTGTGATTTTTTGAATGCAACATTGCTACATTTGTTTGCTCTTGTTGTTATAAACTATAATAAGCTATATACATTACATATATTGCAATATAGGTATAAAAAGTATATAATTTACATTAATTTTATACTTTATCAAAAAAATTACATTTATAAACTTTTGACAGTTGATAATTATTTATTATTGTTGTCGATCGAAAATATCACATTGTTCTGATAAAAAATTAAAACTTGCAATGTTTCATAAAAAATCTGTAATTAAATCAGAATATCAAATACGATGAATATATAGGTAACAATTTCTAATGTAAGCTAAAATCATAATTTTTCGAATGTCTTAATTTGTTAACAATAGAATCATTAATTTTACAAAACGATATGCATACTACGTCACTACTCACTATATATATAATAATAATATAATATTATGTGATTTCACATGTTTTGGTTACATATAATATAAGACCATATAAAATCGTAACAAATATTAAATTCGCGGTGTTGCAGCCATCTTCAAGCAATTATATAATATTATAATAAGATCGGTCGGTACACCTTTTCTATTCGTTGTTCAGGTTCGCGACGCGAACGCCGTACCTGCAGGACAACTGGTTCGACTACGGTGCTCGAGACTTCGACAGGAAGCCCGCGACGGAGGGTGGAAGTCGTCCCTTGGGCTGGTGGTGGCGTTTCATCAGCGTACTGAAGCGGAATCTCGAGAAAAAATCATCGCCGACGACTACCGCGGTTCTGAGCGACGCGTCCCAGATACCGGAAACAATCGTCACGTACTCGATTAAGGGTTGCAGCCCGACGATAGTGCCGTTCGATTTGTCGCCTTGTAGCAACTTATCACCGGATGTGCCGCAGCCTGTCAGCACCACTCGGGTAATCTACTACGTGCCGCCGACGTCGCGAATCGACACATACAATCCATCCGACTTTGACCAATGAATGATGTGTGCCATTGCTACAGTCATCCATAATATTATAATTTCTTACCTAATAATATTTAATTTACTATAATTATTACAATACTGAATGATTTATTCTGTTTATTTATTAGACCTTTAACGGACATTTTTTTTTTATAATTACAGTAAAAATTGTTTAATGTGGACTTGGATAACGTGGAAATCTGACTTTTATAAAAAAATTTTACCGTCGTGGCGAGTGCGTAGCGTTAAGAGTCCCAACCTGTCTAAAATGCAAAAACATATCCCAACCGTTTCAATACTACACAGGTTTTACTATATTATTATTATCTATCATTAATATATGAGTAAACTTGATAAAAACCCATTGCTTTCCCCACAATTACAGTTTTAAATAACAACAAATCAATACATTTACATTTTTAAATTAGGCTAATAGTTAAATTCTAAAAACAAAAAGTTATCAAAATTGTTTTTATGATGGGGGGCTCACGTCTGGAATTGACCAAAGCGGGGCGTCTGACCTTAAAAACTTGGGAATTTATGTACTATATAATAGGTATATACTATTGCAGAACAATTATTGCAGTCAAACACATACTCCTAAAATGCTGTCAGTTTAATAAAGTACACATCAAACAGGAATTACCGGTATACCTTATATGAGATACTACCGAGACGTCCAAAAAAATATAATGAATTCCATCAACGTACCATCAAAACTTCGTCGTCTTATTTAATAATTTTAATGAAAAAAAAAATAAAAAGTACATAACAATAATAATTTAGTAGTTTAATTTTGTGTAATGTAAAAAATGTAATCATGCAATGCTTATTAATATAACCACGCAGTTTATATAATACAAAATAAAAATAAAGGAAAAAAAATTCAGATTGGTTTAGATTTAAATGGAAAACAAATAAAATATCATCTCACATTGTAATGTATATTGATATAATTATTATATAATATAAGTAAATGAATAGTACATTTTTCGATTCATATGAAAATAACAACGTAAAACAGTCTAGTAAAATAGAATATTTATTTATGGTATTTTGTCTCATTGGTTGATTATTTAAAAAACACACACAAATTGTCCGAAGGGTTAGGTTAGGTTAGGTTTTTTTGATTTTTAAAATAAATGTTTTTAAATCATTTGAAGTAGATATAGATGTAGATAATTTTATTTAAAATACGAGAACTCATAACATTTTGTTTTTGCAAAACAAATATATATTTTTTTTCAAATATTTTAAACATAAAACAAATTGATCTCAATTCCAGACCCACTGTTTCAATAATGCTCTGTTATCATAAATATATTTAACTCGGTTTTAGTGCATAATGTCTATTTACCTACGTATAATGGTCAGTATCAAAAAAATAAACATTGTTTTTCGTGGATTATAGTTAGGAATTATCGTCAAAGGTAAAAAAAATTGTTCGTTTGCCTGATAAATCTCTTTATCGTGCAATATTGTTCGCAATGTACATTTTTGATTTAGTGAAAACTGAAAAGTATTATTATTTATACATGTTGAGAATATAACTATATAAGTATAGTCGGTATAGGTACACACATCGTTACACTTCATGATTATTATCTGATTAAAAACATTATTTTAGTGTAGACTTTGAAACGTTTTTAAGGAAATTATTATTATTATAACATTTTCAGTAAGATCATAAAACCATTATCGTACGGCGTTTCAGATATGCTACAAGAGGCACACTAAAAACTTTTACTCGCATAATATTATTGTTATTTTATGTTTTTTATTTATTTCAAGAACTATCTGAATTTTACAAGACTATATTGCAACACTATAGCTTAGAACAATAAATTAATTCTACTGAACACAAATTGTCGCCATGATGTAATACTTATTATGTATTTAGGTTAGGTCTGTTGTTCCGTGCAATTAGTATGAAGCCTGCACGGACCCCTAGCTAAAACTTAAATTAGTCCGGAGATCCCCCCCCTCTGCCCTCACTCTTTTTTTTAGGTGTTCGAGAATATTCGGGTATATTGTGATGGTGTTCTCAAACATTCTCGAACACTCAAAAAAAAATAATAATTCAGAAACAGTGATATTTGATATAAGAGAGTATAATAAGTTGCTTTATCACGGGTTATAAAAACGACACATAATTTAACATAATATTCTTTTTTTATTATTATTATTGATATTGAAATTATAATTTTTTACTTTGAAAACTAAGCCCATTAGCGTTATATTTTTACATATTATACTAACATTTTAATGATAAGTTATTCAATTAAAATCGAGTGAGTACAAAAATAAAATAAAATAAACGAATAAATAAATACGCAGTTTTCATAATACCTATTTTTATTTCATTGGGTAATGGGACGAAAATGATTAGTGTGGCTTCACCTGAAGCCCAATCTGAATAATATGTAACAGTATAATAGTGTAAGTAATAATAATATTAATATATTATTATGAAAATTTCCCCTCGGCGACATAAATATATATCATATTATATAATAATTATTTGCATAAATATTGTGTAAATGAAAAATTGTCGGAAATTAAAATTTAGTAATATGAGTGTCTTTAACGCGAAAAGTTGCTTATAAATTAGGTATAAGCTATCCGTAAAAAATAAATCATTGTCTTGTTGAGGATAAATATTAACTATAGATACCTGCCCTAATATATATTTATTATTGCACAGCTAGGGCTGGAAATATTTCATTTTACTCTAAGACTTTTTTTGAATACTACCTGTATCCAGTAACACATCGAAATACATACAAAGACGTTCGGTAAAAATGAATGTCACGCTACAATGATTTATCTTCGAAGAAGGTTTGATTCTCGTGGAAATCTAGTAAATCAGTGAGGTATATCTACTTAAATTTAAAAATTAAATTAAAATTAAAGTATTTTATTATCCAGACAAGGTTTTTAGATTCATGTCTACGATTTATTAATTTAAATAATTGAATAACCCTGAATTCTGGTTATTTAATAAGTAATAACGGAAGAGTCATCTACCGACTTCGTTTTATTTGTTTTACTCGACACTCGAGCGTTTGTCCCTAGATAGCGGCGAATGGTGATGTTGCAGCAAAATATTTTTCATTTAATTTTTAAATTTTAATCAAGCGATTCAAACGGCAATTATAATTTATGACAGTTGTGTTCATACTATTTTTACTTATAATTTAAATCTTATTACTCTTCAATAAAAACGTTTTGTTTATAATTATATTATAATTTCTGTTTTTATGAAAGTTTTCAGCATATCAAATGCCACCTTATAGTTTTAGTCTTAACACACCTAATTCACAAATAAAAACAATTTAAATAATTTGTAGACTGTAGTAAACTAATAATGATAAATAAAGATGATCGATACTGCGGTAAACTATCAATAACATAATATATCCACTTAAAAAATAACTTAAAACTTAAAGATCAAAATATCAAATAATTAACAACAATGTAAGATTAATATCTCATGAAACCATGAAGGACATTGCTGTCTGCTGATATATACAATATATATACCTATATATTTCAAATAACGACGCAAAGCCAACACGAAAGTTTCGATAACATGACGTACAAATGCCACATGCCCACATAATAATGTTATTATTGTTATTTTTTTTTCATAGATAATTAATTATTATTAACCTTATATGACGTTGTTGACTTGTGTAGACTTCCGCGATTAAAATAATATCTTATTAGTTATTATTGTAGGAGATGGCCACAATCGACATTCGTTGTCAGAATGTTTTAAAAAAAATAAAAGAACAAAATTAAATATTTTGAAGCATAATAACATTATAATATTATAATAATTCAGCGTACGCTCCGAACAAGGCAGGCGGCTAAGCGATAACGATACATCAATCTATTAATAAAATAAAAATAAAAAATTGTATAATATTTAATAATAATAAGTGGTTGTCGTGACGGTCGGCCCGACGCACGGCGCGATAGAGCAACCAGACAATATGTAATTCAGTACATTTAGATATAAATGATATAATTCGAAATTCGACCATTCTATAATGGCTTATTTTTATACCACAAAACAATAAAAAATATTTTTTAATAACAAAATATTTATTTTGATTTCAATTCTAAAGATCGTAATTTTATACGAAAAAACGGAAAATGTTCGGGGGGGGGGGTCCATGGGGTCTGGGCCCCCACCCCCTGGATACGTACCTACAGAATAATATTATGATGTGAGTCACATGTAACTGTAATCTGTATGCAATGATTCATACTATTCATAGTTAGTACGTAAATTCGCACGTCGTTCTCACAAAATATATCGACGTCAAATAAACACAGCAGAGTTGACGGTATGCGATATTACTGTTTTACTGCAGTGATGTTACTATAATTTTTTTACGAGGTTAAACTACGCTGAAAAATGCCAAAATATTGATATTTATTTTTTTTTTTTATGATAAAAGTATTGAAGCTTTGTGCGAGGTTTAATTTGCAACCAACAAATTACAATTACAATTTTAATACATCGAAACAAAATAATATTTAAAAACGAATTACTTAAATAAATGATTGTACATACACAATGACGGGAAATACCACCGGCAACGATTGTTGTGAGATTAATTTTTGTGTAATATTTAATATTTTTACATATATCTCAATATCTGCATTGTTTAAATATACAATTGTATATTTAATCAATGATATCTGTATAATATACTTAAAAGTACTGGTCAATATTATCCGTGACTTGTTATTGAGCATTGCTCGACGTTTTAGTAAAAACCAATTTATTCCTTACAAATTACGATTAACCCTAATTAATATCAAATAGTACCTATTTAATAGGTACTACTTAGATTTCAACTATAAACAAGTGTAAAAAAGTTATGTATTTTTTTTTTTTTTTTTGGTTTTTTTGAGAGCACGCCATACTATTTTTATATAAAACACTACTGTGTATATTATAATAAGTTTATTGCTTTGGATAATTATAAAAATATGTTGTAGTGTTTATGCTACATTGGTTTTGGGCTGGATA